GCGGGTGTTGTATTGCTTCTGTCCAAAAGACCTGAAATAAAAAGCACCTTTCCATTAAAAAAAGTGTCTCACCTAATAATCACTTGACTCTAGCTTGCGCTCACTGTTGTAAACGGAAGCAGTTCCGGGAGCATGACATATGAGGCATGCACCGCTCAGAAGTGACGCACACGGAGAGGTCGAAACAAAACAACGGTCACTAATTAGAAGCACAAAACGAGGATTTGTAAAGAAGAATGTCGGAGGATTTGGATATAAGCCAAGAGGAGACTAGTTTTCCTTTGCTAAAGTAAGGAAACTTTGCTTCTTTTGCTCCTGTAAACAAACGTTGGTTTTCACGAGACTCACCGGCGCATTTTGGGGTGAACTAACCCTTTAAGAGCCTAAAAAAAAAACCTGAGAAAATATCTGCTATTGTGTAATAATATTAGTAATGTATATATTTACAGCTTTACTTCAACCATATCTTAGTCTCTTGTCACAATAGCATATTTAAAGTTTATATTTAACCTTTTGTTATTTTATAGACACCCATGAAATGACAAAAACAGAACCAAGCTGGAATAAAGATGATCCTATTATTTATAGGATATTTTTCATATTTAATGTTTATTTGACAGAGACTGTCATCACCTGGGCATCCGAAACAGTTTTGACCATCAGCGTCTGCTGAAGTTTGCTCGAGTCTGTGAAGTGAGCGGGAGAAAACACATCTGCTTCAGAGACAAGGTGCCTCATACAGTGATCACACATTATTATTACAAACCAAACACACACACTGCATGTATGGCATATAGCAGAAGCTCAATTAATATATTCAGAATTTGTCTACTCTGTTTTATAGTTTGAACTCAGATATCATGTCAGACATATTACACTAGTTAATGACTTTCAAAGGCAGACTTTAAATTAAAGTATGTTTAAATTATTTACATATTCTCATGCTGTTCTAAACCTGTGATACGTTATTTTAAAGGATGTTTCTATTGTTTCTTTCCATGCAATGAGTCAGTGGGCTCCAGAATAACCCTTGACCCCACTGACTTTCGTTGTACAAAGACAAAAACACTGAGACATTTCTCAAAATACATTATTTTGTGTTCAACTTTAGTGTTTTGTTTCTTGGGAAATATCTAAAAGTGGCATTGCTTTACATGATCTGGATCTCTGACACACTGATGTTTGTGTAACAGGAGGCTGATAATGTTTATGACATGTTTCGCACTCGATACACTCTCCATCGCCAGGCCTATCAGCACAAGATCTGCAACATCATCGAAGACATGTGAGTTTCTCTGTTTAGATTAGTGGTGATACCTGTGCTGCTGATCGTACAGTATTTAAAATCTTGCATCACTAATTCTTCCTTTCCAGGATATTACATAAATTAGGTCACTGACTGCACTCCTTATACATGTTTGAAACACTAACTCACATGTTTTTCTCTGTGTTAGGCTTGCAGAAGCGCTCGTACGAGCTGATCGTGATCTTCATGAAGGAAAACCTGAAGATATGCTGAAGATTTCTGAAGCCATAAAAACAGCAGAGGACTACAGCGAACTCACAGGTTAGCAAAAACACAAAACACAAAACACACAAATATATAAATAAAAGAAGTAAATATGTGCCATATTATTCCAAGATAAACACATTCACTCTATTAAGACTTGTGGTAATGTGTCTCAGGACATATGAAATAACATATGTTTTATTGATGCTAATAATGACACTTCTGTTCTTCTGTCAGATGAGATCTTTGAGCAGATCTTGTCCTCCACTGCTGACAATTTGAAGAAATCCAGAGACATCTTGAACAAGATCGTCAGAAGAAAGCTGCCAAAGTTTGTTGGAGAAGCTCGACTGACTGAGAACAGCATGTCAAAGGTTGGATAGAAGTGAAAAACACACTGGTTTACAGTTTGATTAACCCTCCAAAACTGAGGTTTCCAAAATTTCAGGAAGAGCTGACAGAAACATGGAAGGCAGCATTAGAGAAGTACAAACCTACAGACCCGACTGTTTCTCTGAATGCTGAAGGTTTACCAGTTTATGTAAGTTATATTCCAAACACTTCACATCTGCTTTCATATCTTCACAAACCAGCTATTTCATCTCTTCTTATTCAGGTGGTTGATCTGGATCATGGCATGAAGGACAAAAACCCAATTGAAAAGGTATTTTTCTACAGCAAGAGGAAACCCAACGAAGCCTCTCCCATTAAAGATTATCAGGTACTCGTGACACTTTAACTGTTTTATTTCAGATTGTTTAAAGGTGCAGTAGGAGATCTTGGAAAATGCTAAATTTAGCCTGATAGCACTAAAAGCAAACGTCGCACCCTTCCTGCAATCACCGTCCAAAGCCACGCCCCCTGAACGCATGAACGCACACACAGACCCGATGACCAGAGACAACATTACTACAATACATCACAGTGTTTCCCACAGACTTACACTCTATGTGTGGCGGCACTTTCCCTGGGGGAAATATATATGTATATAATGTAAATATAAAACAGCAGGCTTATTGAAAATGCTAATTAATTCTCTGCCAGCAGGAGGCGCTTTAGGAGCGGCATAAATAGCGGTTTCCCCGATAATGGCTGTAAACAAAGCAGCGCTGCGCTCATGAATGCTACAGGCATTTTAGGAAAGATGAAATGAAAATGACATCGAAACTTTTCTGAAGATAACCGGTTCCTTTCAAAAATGATACATTCATATAAAAACACCCATGCCGTGTTTTGATTTTGAAACATGCAGAGCTCATGTTTATCCAACGAAGTCAAAGCATTTTGGAAAATCTATTTGTGGCGGTTAGTGTTGATATTGTGGCGGGCCGCCACAAATAAGTCAATGTATGGGAAGCCCTGCATCATGTGTTATTCACCGGTGAGAAAACTTTATATTATAGTTAGTAAAAGTAGATCAGGTTGTTGATATTTGACTGCCATTCTCGTTCTCTCTGCACAGC